GGGGCAGAAACAGATAGATCTGATTGATCTAGTGTTTTCGTCGATTAATCGCAAACTGTTGATTTGTAAGTTGTTTTACTTCTTCTTCTATGGAGCATTCGGTTCGCTGTTCCCGTTGATCTCGATCTACTTCAAGCAACTGGCGATGAATCCGCTTCAAGTAGGCATCCTCATCGGCATCCGTCCATTTGTCGAGTTTGCAAGTGCCCCTTTGTGGGGCAGTTTTGCCGACCGCATCAAAAGAGGCAAGATGGTGCTGCTGTTTTCACTTGTTTGCTGGATCGTCTTCACGCTGGCCTTGAATTTCGTCCAACCGGCCTCTCCGTTTTGTCTAGTGGGTAACAAAAGTCACGAGGTTTTGATACCGTCCAACACTGGACGCCGGAATGGCCTGCTGAACGCAGATGAGGCAGCAACGATGAACGTCGAAACAATGCTGGCCGTTGCTGATATCGACGACTTTTACACCCGGGAGCGGTTACGCCACGCACAGCCGTTCGGAGTAGCTCCAAGCATCCTCGACAAGGATTACGTCCTCAACTATGATCCGGCTAAACAAGGAAACCTCGTCTCACCGCCTCACAGCAAGAAGGTGTATAGAAAATCAGCCGTAGAGGAAGTGTTCATGCTGCTGCTGGTCCTCATCATCATAGGCGAGTTTTTCAGCGCTCCCGCGATTACCCTTGTTGACTCCTGTACGCTGAATTATTTAGGTATGTGTTCTCTTTTATATGTAATGACTAATTGCAGAGGCATGCAATATCTTACTAACTAGCGATTCCGTTTACTGGGACATGGAAAAACTAATGAGCTACGTATGTACTTGCATACATGCCTATTAGTGAAATGAGTACAATGTGTTTCAGCAATTAAAGAAAAATTGAAAAGAGGATTGAAGTTTATTTTTTTTCTCTTTTGATGCAAGATTCAAACAGCGTTATGGCACCCTCTCATTGCTTCTGGTCTCCTATGAGACTACTTAACCAGGCCACGGCTCCATGCTTAAATACCATAGCGTCTGCAATGCATGGATGCAGAACCGCATCATTAGGCAGGGCCGAACAAGGGTCTATTGGGGCATCTGCGAAGATGTCATTAACCGTAGGCATGTTTATACATAAAAATAAACCCGATCTTATGGGTTTTCTGTCATACTGCTAGTTATCGATACCGCCGCTAAAAGAAATGACCCTTTCTCTTTTGACTTGGATAAAAGGGGACTGTGCCAATACGCCGCTTCAATCCGGCATCAAAAGAGAAAGGTTATTTCTCTTAGCGGCTGTATCGATAACAGGAGCAGCATGGTAGTAAATCCATAAGATGGAGTTCATTTTTAGGCATAAGTTAATTTATATTCCATTAGTTTGAAGTACGCATTTTTTTCTTGATGGAGATTGCTTGAGCGAAATACCTACCTACCTTAGGTAGGTCATAAACGATTCTCTAGGGAATGTTGTTAAAAAAAGTTATGCTTGGAAACTTGGGTACAGTGGTCCAGCAGGAAACAGGTCGGCTGCGAACTCAGGAAATGGCGGATTTAGGTTCCAACAAGGACAACATGTTTCTTAAGCGCTAATCCCCTTTAGCAAGAAATTCACAAGCCCCTCTTCCCCCCCCCTTTGCTTCGATGCAACCAGCGAAGAAACGGCTATTATGACGTTGATATGCGAACAACCAGACCAGTGCGGTGTTCTTGTGTGATAATGCCAGAGCAGGCAAGAAACACGAGTATATTATCCAATGCAAGCTTCTCTTGTAGCTGCATTTCAACTTTGCCCTTCTCATAGCAATTTGTTCAATGTGATGATCAACAAATGATGTAATGCCTGCTGTTGCCTAAGCTCACGCTTGATCGCTCAGTGCAATTTACAGAAAGGTAAATACCAATTATTTGGATGGATAAAACGGTACACAAACTTTAGTGAAACTTTCAAAATGTACATGCACCAAGTGTCAAAGTTTCAATTCAGCATTCTATAGACTCTAATATTCATATAATAAAAACATTTAAGTGTCTATCATAAGCACAGAATCAGCAACGTTAGTGATTTGCGACACTTGTTAAAATAATGTTACACGTGTTATGAAAATCAGTTATATACTTGAGCATTAATCTTATATCAGAAAGATCACACAAGTCTTTCAAGGCTTAGTGACATTCTTCAATTGCTTCTTTCCCCCATACAACGTACTTGGCGAAAGATCTGAAGTAGCGTATCTGCAAGGCGCTACAATGAGCTTTGCCAAAATCAAGGTACTCGTCCCATGAATATACGCCACTGTTCCACATGTAGCAGAAGGGAAAGAGAATGGAAAGTTGAAGATAACCATCTCACCATCTCTTACTCAGAAAACTAAAAAGTTAGGAAGAATAGCAAAATTCAAACAACCTTCTTAGATACCGATCAAGTCCACGCCACAAACCAGCACTGCGTGCACTGCTCAATTATATTTCAATGCTGAATGTATTTCAATACAGATGTTTTCTTCTATTACTCCGCCATTCTCTCATAAGAATTATGCATTAAGAATTGCCTCAAATTTTTCCTGCTCAATTTATATCTAGATTTTCCTTCCACTTCGTACGTTTGCTTTGAAAACATAATGGGATCTGACAGCGTTTGCTTATAGCTGCTCCGTGGCCATAGGACTATCAAGTTAATACAACATTAGCATCTGACTGTATCTCTACACTAACTTGGCGGTTAAATCCTTATACTTCTTGTTGCAAGCTTCTCACAACGTTGACACAGAAGGGCTCAATATTACGATCCACATCTGAAGTCAATTTTCAGTGCAAGTTACGGGACCAGCATGGCTAAGGCGATTTATTCGACCCAGCGGATGTAAAACCAAGAACATTAAGATGGCTGGCATAATTTTCACACAAATGCAAATTCATAGCACATGCATAGCGGTTACCTGTGCACATTAGTGGCTCATGTCGTGGCCCAAAGTTACTCTTCTAATTGGCATCAAATTGTCATGTTTAGTGGTAATGGTGGCCCACACTTTCAAAGTGTCATTGTCACTTTCAGTATTGCTGAAATCTGTGAGGTCTGATATCCGTCAGGATGGTTGCCTACAATGCGCTTTCAAAGGAATCTAAGTTCGTCGTATTTTAAGTTGTTTGAAAGAAATATGAATGTCCATTCATATCATGTACATCTTTTGAATAATAACTTAGACTGATTTTTTTGATCAGCAGTTAATTAAGACTCAAGACTCAAGCGATACGCACTCATTAAGGTTTCGACCAGGATTAAA